TTAATTGCTAAATATTTGAAATGTGAGTCGTATGTTTTATATGTTTTTGACATTTGTACAATATATCGACCTGTTTCATTGTGCGTATGAGTCATTTGATAATGATTTCCTCAGTATACTTCTTCCTTACAAAATGGTTTTTGTGACCTTCATAACTCCTATTTTCCGCAATTTTTGTAAGTTAAAGTAAGTTGTGTGTTGTCAAATATTTTTGCATTTTCGAAATGAAACCGCTATATTGACTTTGCTTGGACAAATTTGCGTGTGTGTGTGTGTGTGTGTGCGTGTGTGTGTGGATCCAGTTGTAACATTCGTAAAACTATGTTGCGAAATACAAGTTCTTTGTCTGATGAACGCGCGCACGCGAATTTTCAGCCTTTTTTAGTTATATCAAAATGCTCCCGCTCCAAAATACATATCGATTTTGTCCAAGACATCATAATTTGGAACTATTGGCTCATACGGTATTGCTAAATTGTTACGGTTTAATAGAGTAACAGGAAGAAAATGTATGTGATTTTTTTTTAAAACAAAAACTCCTTTGCTGAAGAAATTGAGGACAGAGTCACTACTGTTATTAAAGAAGCATTTAGTTTTGATTTATATTTAATTACACCTTCTGTTTAAATATTATACGATTTTAATTTAATTTATGTCGCATTCTGAAGTAACATGAGGGCTATTGGCAGCGGATCTTTTTAATTTTGAGACACGGTCACAAGTGACGACGCCTAAAGTGGAAATTGAAATATTTATTCTATATTGCGGTACCCCTAACCTATTTACGAAACATTGGTAACTACTTTTAGACATACTACCAGAATCTAAAACTACACAACACAACAACTTACAATACAATGAACAACTGAATGAAACAACTTACATAGAATAAATTTAAAGCATAACTACTGCTAGAACAACGTAGAATTATGGTTTTACCTTTGTCATTAATACGTATGAAATATACAACTGTACTTCCTTAGTGCAGACTCGGAAACTGCTTAGCTTTGATATTCACTTCATGACCCTGTGTAGTCGGAATGCTATGAATCTGGAGAGCGTTGACGCCTATCATTGATTTTCCTGTCTTTCTATGAAACAGTGTATTATGTCTGAAGCTACATGTATTACAAGAACGTTTAAGCATGTAGCTAGAGGTTTATTGTTTCCTTTCTCTGTGCTGCGGTTAAAATTTTACAAGGGAATTCTGCGTTTATATATTAGGTTAATTTTCTTGTGTGTGCTTTAAATATATACATGGTACGGTTAAAGCTCGAAAGTCGTCAATGTGCAGATTAACTGATTTTCTTCGTTAAAATGCGGAATCAAGAGTTTTCCGCATTTTAACTGCCGTAAAATCTGGTGTATAACGCGCACCAATACTTTAAAGTTGCAATTTTTAGTTTTTAGATACATTCATCGTATAACGCACACCCACTTTTTTACAAAGATACCTGAAATGTACATGTGTAACACTCGTACGTTTTGAAATCCTTTATTCGAGGTATTATCGCAGACTTTTGAAAAAATAGTATACTTCTAGAAATACAACATTTTAAGTTCCTAAGAACTGTCATTTTTCAAAAATAAACAGTATTTTTCCATATATGTAGAAGTCTAATTCTTTTTCTATGCTCATCTTTTTTCATTTTTCAAGTTCTCATTTTTATATCCGGCGTACAACGCTCACCAGTAAATTTTTATCTTATTTCTTTCAATTCCTACTATTAGCTCACAATCTCTATATATTTATTTATTTATATATTTATTTATTTATTTATCTTAGTGGAATTTTCAATCGATAATAAAATACATTTTAAAGCGCTCAATTAAGCTGAAATTTTATATACAGGATTATTTTGGATGACAGTACAATATATATATAATATAATAATAATTAATAAAAATTACTTGATTAAAACTAATTATTTAAAGAATTACAGATACACAACCACGTTAGCATCATTTTTGGCGACTTAGTGACCCTTTTGGCGACTTGTGTCAAAACTTGAAAAAGTTTTCAGCATTAGTATTAAAAGCATTCAGTTGAACTGAAATTTATATTGGATGACAATACAATAATATAATAATAATTAATAAAAACTAATTAATTAAAACTAATTATTTAAAGAATTACAAATACAACCACGTTGGCATCATTTTTGGCGACTTAGTGACCCTTTTGGTGACTTGTGTCAAAACTTGAGAAGGTTTTTTTTTCTCCCGTTTTAAAGCATTCAGTTGAACTGAAATTTTATATGCACGATTGTTTCGGAAGACAATACGATACTTTAATGATAATTAATAGGAATTAATTACCACGTAATGTTGTGATTCTGTCCTATGTATATACATATTTACTTTAATTGTAACTATTTAATAAGTAGCTAAAATAAAAATTTTCTTTGTTGATCTAAGTAGAAATTGACTTAAAAAATTTTTTTTTATATTACTTCTTTTTGTTCAAAGTGCACGTTACACGCCGGAATTGACGGTATGTTACCTTACAAGCTTCAGCAAGTGAGATACCTCTACACACAAATACGATCACAGCGCTATTGCTTTACGACGTCACAAGTCACTGTGGGGCAGAGTTGTCCGCGAAGATCTTAGGAATGTTTTAATTCACTTCAATTAAACTTTTTTAATCCTTTGGAGATTTCTTATTTAATATCTCTGTATTTATAATTACTTTTTTTTCCTACACAGATTTCTACTGTAACACGTTTATTTTCTGAATATTTTTTTGTGAAAATTTTAAATAATAATTTGAATTAATCGTTTATAATCTCTAAGCTTTTAGCATCTTCAAGGTAATGAAGTTTTTGTTAAGAGGTTGTGCGTATGTAGAAGTAATGTTTTTAAATTGGTTTTTAAAATTTCACCATTCTGCTATTTCTCAGAAAACATCGGTAAAGAAATTTCTGAAAGTATAATATTATAAGAATTATTTCGAAATGAGAGATTTTGAAATGTCAGATAAGTAAATGAATTTGCTTCTAATTACTTAGCATTTTATAATATCGTCTCCATGTATTCTGCACTGTTATTAATTTTACTTCCTTAATCATCTTTATCCGTAATTATACTTTCGATTTCTTCAATTAAAGATCACAATGATACTTTTTTTTGTATTAGAGAATTCTAACAATGATTTGATTTCTTATTATTACTTTGTAATAAATTATTTATTTTTGTACTAAATTTTGTAATAAAGCTTCTTATGGTATGAACAGAACATATTTCTTTCTCAACTTACTTTTTCAATTCCTACTATTAGTTCACGCTTTCCCTATACATACACACACATATATATACATAGCTTGTCCAAATTTTCAATCGTTAATAAAATATTTTCTATTCATCCATTCAAGTTCAAATACATTTTTTTAAACTTGTAGTGGAAGACGCTTGATGTCAATATTAACTCACTAATAAAATTAAAAAATGAAGAAATAGTAACAAACAAAAATAATAGTAAAACAGCATATATAGAAAAGAAAATCATTCGTTGTATCCCTGTAGCGCAATGGATAGCGCGTTGAACTTCTATTCCATAGGTTCGTAGGTTCGAATACTACCTGGGATGGCCTAATGTCTGAGAATGTGATTTCTTTTTTGCAGTACTATTTTATTAGAATAATTAAATTTAATTAATGAATAAATAGTAACAAAAAATAGTCCAACACACTATATAGAGAGAAAAATGAAAAATCGCTTTCTATTTTGTCACTAATTACTGGGATTCTGTCATATTTATATTAATTGTAATTATTTAACGAAAAGTAACTAAAATAAAAAATAAAAATTGTTGACCTAAGTAGGAATTGATTTAATTTTTTTTTAAATTACTTATTTCATTTTAAACAAAAGTATTTAGTTATAGCTTGCAAAGATAAGATACAAAATGTGCTTACCTGAATTATACTCTGCATTTTCTGCCTCCAAGAGGAACTGATATCTTATTTGACTCGCATAGCAATTTCTGAAAAAGTAAGGCAGCCACCAAGTGTAGAACCCTTACGGCTACCCTCACAGGCTTAACATCTACAATCTCATTCCCGCAGACATTCACATGCGACGATATCCACTGAAAAAAGATCTTAACATTGGCACTCAAGCTATTTAATAGCTGGACAATATTAATTGTCGTTCTGTCACTATGCATTTACCACTCAGATAGATGCTGAATATAGCTTCGGCTATCACTCAATATCCAAATATCTGTGTTGACACTCTCAGTACAGCAAAATTTCAAAGCCTCCTCAATAGCTAAGAGTTCTGTCCGAAATACTGAGCAGTAGTCTTTCCCAAAGTCTTGAAATGCTGCTTCATCGTGGCGGGAGAGTTTTCTTGAGCGGAATGGGTGAACTTCTTCGGGAGGGCATTCTCCTGCTAGGTCCACCCAAGCTGTGATGGCCCTAGTAATATGCTCAGTTAAATGCATTGCAGGCATGAAGCAAAGTCAGACCAACCTTTGGTGCCTCACGGTCTTCGACCACATGAAGCTACATCTTTCACCCTCATCGTGATTCGTGTACTTGAGAACTATAACAGTACATAAACAACACTAACTTCACACAATTTTGGTGTCCCAAAAGTATGATTACACTTTCAAAAATATTAATTACAAGTAAACAAGCAAAGATATTCACTTACGGTTTCTTATGTGTTCCATAAAGAAATTTCCAAATTTTTTTTATAATCTTTTACTGCATGATTTCAATGTGCGCAATAATAACTGGACACGAAACATCGAATTTATATGACATTTCTGGCCAAGTTCTATGTGACATTACAGGATCATCATCTTGAATGGCCACTGTAATTCAACTTTTTAATTAATCAGTGGTTTTAATTTTTAATTTTAACTAACCGATGGAAGAGCATAGCATCAAACAGGTCAAGATGATTTAAGTTGACCGAGATAACCTTGGCTGGTAACAGGCTGTAGTGCTTGGAAAGAAGAAGAAGAATTCGTCAGTGCTACGAATTGAAGATTAGGAAAAAAACAATGATTTTTACTTATCCCTCAAGAAGTCCAAAGGTGTTATGTCTAGAGATCTAGGTGGCCACACTATTGGACCTCCGTTTTCCATCCATCGTCAGGGGATGTTTTTTTCTCATTTCCAAGCTCTAGTATGGTAGCATCCCATCTACTTTGTATATGTGTCGCAGATTTAAATTCGATAAACCATGTTACAACTTTCGTTTTTTCTTGCGGTGAAGCCCTTTTGAAATGGGAAGACAGCACAATATCCCCGTTGAAAAACGAGGACGTTGTTCTTTCTAATTTGCATTTCATTAAACACAAACTTTAATCTTTTCTTTATGGAACGTAAAAAACTGAAAGTGAAAATCTTTGTTAGTTTATTTTTAATTCTTCGATGAAAGTGTAATCATACTTTTCAGACACCATATATATTGAATAAACTTAAGGCTATAGTAGGGTTAGTGCCACGAGATTTCAGAATTATAACTTTGAAATTCCCATAATGGTTTGTAATTCCTATAATAGTTTGTAGCATCACACGCAGTTCTGGTAATATATACTAAATATGAATATATATATCTGGTATTATGCATTATTAGAGGGATATAGTAAATCTTATATCTAAGTCTAGTACCGATAACAGAACGTAAACCTGTCATTATTAAGCTTAGATGTGTGTTAAATGTACCCTAATTATATATTATTTTATATATTGCGAATAATTTACGTAGAATATATATATAGACCAAACGATTTTCAGGCATCTAATTTTAATTTCTCTAATACAGAAGGATGAATATAATGTCTATAATTACTTTTAAATAAAATCTATGCGTACAACAATTAATTAGAGCTTGCTGGTTATTTTGCGAAATTTAAATGCATGTATTTAATGTTTGAGTATTAAAGCATTAATGATACCTATTTATCTTAGTTAAAAAAATATTATATAGATTGATTACAATTTTCAATGTAATTAAATAATTAGAATAAAAAAAGAATAGAATTCATTTCTGTATATTCCAAGAATGTTTTCCTTTTTATTATCTTTTTTTTAACTTCTTACGAAATAAATATTTTAGATAATCAATACTGATTTTTTCATGTAAGTGTATCCCATTGTAAAATATTTAGTTCTGTTTTCATTTACTTTTCGTTCTTTTGAACTAAGTTTTAATCGACTATTTAAATTATACAGTAGTTTTAATTTTAAATTCTTTTCCATATTATTATCATCTGCTTTAATTCAGTAAATCATGTATAAATCTAATTTGTCCGATTATTTGCTGAATAAAATCGTCTGGTTTAAAGTTATGTTTCCCAAGTTGGCAATTTTTATAAATATTTTTAAGTAAATTTTTTATTCAGTCGTACAAAGGAATGGTAAAGCGTAAAATGCTGATTGAACGTAATATATAGTATTTAACTTTTGGATATTTTCGAAATATTATCATTGATCTGGATATCTTTTTGATCATTTGTGTGATTATAAGAATAAAAAGCGTCTACATAGAATAAACATTGGCCGCTATTACTGACACGTTAGGCTTTTAAACAAAACATTTTACAAAAGGGATTTCTAGGTTTTTTTTTTTTTTTTTTTTTTTTTTGCTTTTTGGACATTCTTTCTGGACTGCTGCCACTGAAATTATACAAAAATATTTAACGAATGAAAACTTTTCTCTTTTGAGGAATGAACTTGTGTGTGTGAATTTGACTTATTCTTACAGTCCGTCTGTTTTGTGTAGATAAACAAACGAGTCGATTTTCGCAATTGTATTTATGATGCCAAAAGAAAAGGGGCAACCTGTAAAGGGAATTTGATGTTTCTGCCTTTGTTTTGTTACATGTAAACGTCATAATAACAAATAGGATGAAATTTATTCAATGTATCATGTTCATGCAGAAACAGTTTAATAAATTACTGCCCCTTCCAATTGACATAAAAATAAATGCTTGTTCTATCACATCATCTGCATTGAGTGTTGATAAATTATATTAGAAAAAAAAGACATGGAACGACCAGTTTTCTGAGAATTATAACGTGCATCAGCTCACCGTATAGTGTGTCTTTAACGGCCCCAGGACTCGAACTTATAACTTGACAACGAACGCCTACAGTTAGTTCACGACCCTGACCACACGGTTAAAAAAAAAAGTTCAGATAATTTTTAACATAAATTTATTAATATATTTCAAACTGGAAGTTGTTTCTTGGATAAAAAAATTAAATAAATAAAAAGGATTAAATAATTTAATATTTTTATGGTATTGTGAATCAGGAGCTTTATTTACATATTTTAAGCAATTTGAAATTATACGTCCAAATTTTGGGTATTGGACATGATTTCATTTTTCAATTTCTCTACTATTAGTTCACTCTCTCCCTATATATATATATATAGTAAAATAAAATAAAAGTGAAAAAGTACTAGAACCTACAGTGCTAAAGAAGGAAGAAATTGGAATGCACCAGACACAACAAAAGTAGATAAAAAAAAGCCTTTGGACTAAACTGGAGACCTTTTATGATTTCTAAAGATGTCGCCGAATTAGGCCAGTGAATTAGGGTTAGCAATGCTTTATGGATCCAACCTTCCCCGCACAGCAGAAATTTTTGACATAATAGAATAAAAAAACACACCAAGTTGAAACGTTAAGCCTAATACAACACGGGGAAGAAAAACCTGCTAATATATAAAAATGAAGTTAAGAAAAGAGAACAATAATGAATGTTTCAAGGAGAGGAATAATAATAAAAAAATTTATATAGAAAAAATTAGGAAAAAAACTTACATGTAAAATAAGTACTGGAAATCGAAAGTTCAACCTTCTACAATAAGATCCCCACACGAAATGACGTAAAAGATTGAAACGACTACACGACAAGGAAAAACCGTGGCGCCATATATATATATATATATCTTGTTCAAATTTTCAATCGCTAGTAAAATATTTTCTATTCATTCATTCAAGTGTTCAAATAAATTTTTTTTAAACTTTTAGTGGATGACACTTGATATTAATACAGTTTTTTTTAAAAAATATTTATTGATTCATTAAATTAAAAAATGAATAAATAGTAACAAACAAAAATAATACTACAACAGTATATATAGAAAAGAAAGTCGTTCGTAATTTCCCTCTAGCGCAATAGATAGTACGTTAGACTTCTAATCCAAAGGCCAAGGGTTCGAATCCCTCCTGGGATGGCCTAACTTATAAGAATGTGGTTTCTTTTTTACTATACTATTTTATTAGAATAATTAAATTTAATTATTGAATAATTAGTAACAAACCAAAAAAAAAAATAGTCCAACGCCATACATAGAAAGGAAAACGGAAAATTGCAAGAAAATTCTCTTTCACTATTTTGTCACTTAATATTGTGATTCTGTCATACGTATATACATATTTATATTAATTATAACTATTTAATAAAAAGTAACTAAAATAGATTTTTTCTTTGTTGACCTAAGAAAGAATTGACTTAATTTTTTTTATATTACTTGTTTAACAAGATAATGACTCCAAGCGTTCTGCTTCCGATGTAAGCCGCTAGTGTCTCTGTAACTGTCCCCATATTCTGAAAACAC